CAAAATTAAAAGCTTCTGCATGGCAAAGAAAAAAATCAACAAAATGAAAAAGCAGCCTAAAGAATAGGAATAGATATTTGCAAACCATGTATCCAATAAGGCATTAATACTCTCATATATTGAGAGTATATTCCTCATATGTAAGGTACTCATACAACTCAATAACTCATACAACTCAATAACAAAAATAAAATTAACCCAATTAAAACACTGGCAAAGAGGGAATCTCATGTCTATGTGGATTCCCCCTATATAGGCCTATTACACAAACAAACAAACATGAGCAAACATCCTAAATAGATACTTCTCAAAAGAAGAAATTCAAATAGTAAGAGGCATTTGAAAAAGTTCTCAACATCTTTCATCACCAGGGAAATGCAAATCAAAACCACAGTGAGATACCACCTCACACCTGCTAGGATGGCTATTATCCAAAAGACAAATGATAACAAGTGTTGGCAAGGATGTGGAGAAAAGAAACCCCTGTTCTTTGTTGGTGAGAATATAAATTGGTGCAGCCACTATGAAAAACAGTATGGAGGCTCCTCAAAATATTAAAAATAGAACTGCCATATAACCTAGCAATTCCACTTCTGTATTTGAAAGGAATTGAAAACAGGATCACAAAGAGAGATCTGCACTCCCGTGTTCATTGCATCATTATTCACAATAACCAAGATATGAAAACAACCTAAGTGTTCATCAATGGACAAACGGCTAAAGAAAATATGAGACATACACACACACACACACACACACACACACACACACACACACGAATATTATTCAGCCTTAAAACAAAGAAAATCTGCCATTTGTATCAACATGGATGGAGCTAGAAGAAGTTACACTAAGCAAAATAAGAGAAATATTGCATGATCTCACTTATATATATAATCTAAAATAGTCAAACTCACAAAAGCACAGAGGCTAAGGGGTTGGGGAGAGGGGGAAACAGGTTGATATAGGTTAAAGGGTACAAAGTTTCAGTTTTGCAAGAGGAATAATTTCTGGAGATCTAATGTACCACATAGTGATGATAGTTAATAATACTGTATTGTATACTTGTCGTTTGCTAAGAGACTATATCCTGAATTAAATCTCTACCTCCCACTCCCCACACACAAAATGGTAACTATGGAGAGATAATAAGGTATGTTAATTAGCTTAATTGTGATGATCATTCCACAATGTTATGTATATCAAACATCAATTTGTATGTCTTAAATGTACACAGTTTTGGGGAGCACCTAGGTGGCTCAGTTGGTTAAGCGTCCGACTCTTGATTCCTGCTCAGGTCATGATCTAAGGGTTGTGAGATCAATCCCTGTGTCAGGCCTTGCACTGGGTGTGGAGCCTGATTAAGATTCTCTCTCTCTCCCTCTCTGTCTGCTCCTCCCCCACACACACATGCTTGGGATCTCGCTCTCACTCAAAACAATTTTTTTAATTAAATTGAATGTATACAATTTTTATATGTGAATTATATCTCAGAAAACTGTTAAAAAATAAAATAAGTTATTTCAAGGAATCCTGGTCAGGTATGTGTTCCCTAGGAATGCAAACACCAGCTATTTTTTTTTTAAAGCATTCTTTTTTTTTTTAAAGATTTTATTTATTTATTTGAGAAAGAGAGAGAATGAGAGAGAGAGAGCATGAGAGGGGGAAGGGTCAGAGGGAGAAGCAGACTCCCCACTGAGCAGGGAGCCCGACTCGGGGCTCAATCCCAGGACCCTGGGATCATGACCTGAGCAGAAGGCCATTGCTTAACCAACTGAGCCACCCAGGCGCCCCTGCATCCAGCTTTTTAGCAACAATTTTTTATAAGCACAAGTATTATAAGGCAAGAAAATACAGTTTCAGTTGTTTGGGGTAAAAATAGTAAACACATTTATAGACTCTTAAGTAATTTATGTATTTAAGTAATGCCAACAACAGAGGAGCCAAATTATTCTGTTGATTAATTTGAATGTATTGATCTGTACAGTTGATGGGCTAATTTACATGTAACCACAGTAGATAGACCCACTATGTATATAAAGTAATTCACTCTTAACATTAGCCGTCAATTTTGAGTATTGTGAAGGCCAGGTAAATTTGCTACATTGTTTAATTATATTAGCTAACAATATTTCAAAGAAAAAATAATTCACTCAACAAAAAGGATTTTAAAGAAAATATCTTAACCTGTGTATAAAAGAGTGTTCCCTAAGGATAATGAAGTTCTTAACTTTGACGCTTAGTCAGAATTACCGAGTTGTAAAATTGTTCTGAAATCTTTATTGTACTCTCAAATTTCCTGTACTAAATTAAGTTCTTTGTAGAAAAGAATTAGTTTTGTTCTTCCATTTGCCAATAAAAACCCTTGTCATGGTCTCAGTTTCCATGTTCCAATGAGAGTAGGAAATGGGAGAAAATAGTTGTCAGCAGGTGTGGAAAGAACACGAAGTTCTAATCATTAAAATGATCCTCCAAAGAACAAGGTACTTACGTCAGCCTTCCCCAGAACGTTAGGGCTCGAAAGGGCTTCAGGTCCTGCCTGTTGTTTGAAGTGTTGTAAATAAAAGTATGTGCCACTTTTCCCTTTCCAGATCATTAAGAATCAGCTGTAGCAAGATTTATAATGTAATTTGGATTTGAATAAAATGATAGCGGAGTCACAGAGTTTCGTGCCAGGTTATCCGTATTCTATTTTCAGTCATTGCCACCATACGACATCCCACCCTTTGAGCTGTCACTAACCAGGAAAGAAAGAACTGGATCGGCCTAAAACAGAAGTGGCAAACTGGCCACCTGAAAGCCAGACTCAGCCTGCTAGATCCTAATGTGTCATAAATTTATGTTATATGGACTTGCTACAAAATGTTTACACGCTAGGGAATTTCCACACAAAAATCCAGATTTCCAGGGGGATCTTTACCAACTGAAAGATCTAGTGAAACTCAGTTGCATGGCAACCTGTGCTGAAACAGAGGACCAACCATTCCATTCGGGATGACTTTGCAACAGGCCTGCTTCATTCATTTGTGTGACCCGCTTGGGCCCTAAAGGCTGCGGGGCCCATCACCCTGGCAGGAAGCCCACCGTAACGCCCAGATACCTAGCATGTGCCTAAATGCATCATCCTCTGCAAAAGCAAGAGGCACACATAACAAAGTCAAGCATCAGACGTTCGGGAATCTTTGCTTCCTGTCATTACAATTGTGTTGCATTTTTCTATGTTTTTGACATTTAAAATATTCATTTAGAGATGCAGGGCCAAATAACACAGCAGGATGACAGAGGGCAAAGGGCCTGGGGTTTGGAGTTAGGTACTTTGGATTTGAGCCCAGCTGTGCCAAAAATTAGTGTGTGATTTGAATACATTCCTTAAATCTCTAAACCTTTCCGCCGATAATGTTACCTGCCTCCCTACTAGTTATAAGAATTAAATGTGTGGTGTATGGTTGACAAACTTGTTATATTAAAGGGCCAGAGAGTAAATTTTTAGGCTTCTGGGGCCATGCAGTCTCGGTCACAGCTCCTCAGCTCTGCCACCATGGCTTGAAAGCAGTCGTAACAATGTGTAAACTAATGAATATGACTGTGTTCCAAGAAAACTTTATTTACAAAAACAGAGAGCAGACCAGATTTGGCCTTCAGGCCATCTTTTGCCAGCCCACAGGTTAATGCAAAATATATCTTATGGAGTCTGGTTTATCAGAGGCATTCAAAAAAATGGTAGCAGTTATTATTAATAATTTGTGTTTTTCCTATATCTTCTATTCATTGGTACAAATTTGTTTTAACACTTGCCCCACTAAGTAAACTTAGTGGAGAGCTACTTACAGCAATTTAAAAAACAGAATTTGGCTTATTCCTTGGTTAGGTAAAAAGGCAGATAGAAATATTCAGAGAATGGGTTCCCTATTGAATAGACTAGACTGTCTATTCACATTAAGTGGAATATCAGCTAATGTCCCGAAAGCCAGTTTATCATCGCTGCCCAACAGTGGCATCTCTGACTGGTAGGGTTTTTTAAAACAATAAATGAGTTGACTGGAATAGCTAATCTCTGAGCTTTTTTCCAGAGCTACAATGTTAATTTTAAGACATAAATTCTAGTTAGACTATTAACGAACTAGATAAGTGAAGTATTCAGATTTATTCAAGAAGTGTTTATTGAATACCCTACATGCCAGGAATTGTTCCAAGTACTAGGGATACGATAAAGTGCAAGACAGGCAGAATAGACATTGAAATGAATTATGGTCAAAAAATAATTTAAAGGGGCGCCTGGGTGCCTCAGTTGGTTAAGCGTCTGCCTTCGGCTCAGGTCATGATCCCAGAGTCCTGGGATCAAACCCCACAGCGGGCTCTCTGCTCAGCAGGGAGTCTGTTTCTCCCTCTCCCTCTGCTTGCCACTCCCCCCCTGCTTGTGCTCTCTCTCTCTGTGTCAAATAAATAAATAAAATCTTTAAAAAATAATAATTTAAATATTTAGAACAGAAATTTTAAGTGCATCATAGAATTGGATATATAGATTCATATTGATCAGTTAGAACTAGTTCTAATTTAGTCTTTCCCAAATGTAATGAACCCTGCAATGACACCTGGTTTATGAGGTCATCTTAGATAATTTTATAATTAACGTGAGCCATGCGGTGCAAACTTAGCTCAGTTCATCCTTTTTTGAGGGTGCAAATAATTTTGACTTCATGTGAATTGGCTTTTCTTTCTTTCTTTCTTATTCTTTCTTTCTTTCTTTCTTTCTTTTTCTTTCTTCCTCTTCTCTGCAAATTACTGACGAGATGTACATTAAAATTACCATTCTTATAGACGAAATGGAAATTGGCCTTAGATGGAATCAAATTTCTCATTCCCAAATACTAATGCTGGCTTTCAATAAAGACGTAAGGGAAAAAAGATTTTAGGAAACCATGTTTTATTTAAATTGACTTCACGTGAGGGCTTTTTTTTGTTGATTTTTGGTTTTTTTTCTTCTATAGTTTTTCCTTATCATTTACTACTTAATATTTTCTTTCTCATATTCCACATATATGGAGCACCAGAATATTTGGAATAAGTAATAGTACCACCAATATTTTATTCCTATCTTTTGAAATAAGAGAATGTATAATTTTGCAGATATGTCAAACCAAAATTTCATTTGTTTTCAAGGATTAAGATGCTGATTCTTCCCCCAGTTCCAGTTCCAAAGATTAAAGGAATTGATCCAGATCTCCTCAAGGTACTTAATAAATTATCTACGTGACGGATAACACTAATCAAATGCTACCTAAAGACCTTTGTCTTCTGTTGAGAGCTTTTGCAAGCTATATGTATCACGTTCCATTTTTTAACCCCTCTGGAGAAAAATGTTTCAAAATAACGTATCTTAAAATTAGGAGAATGTCTTGTATATTTAAAAGTTCTATACTAATGTGTTTTTTATTATATGGTTTTGTTACTATTGATCTTAATGTAACCACAATTTTAGTCTCTGAGTGTTGTCAGATCCTTTAATCATTTTGAGTTTCTTTTCATAGATTTCATTTTCTTTCTGCTTTCTAGGAAGGAAAATTAGAAGAGGTGAACACAATCTTAGCCATTCATGACAACTATAAACCTGAATTCTACAACGATGACTCTTGGGTTGAATTCATTGAATTGGATATTGATGACGCAGATGAAAAGACTGAAGGATCAGACACAGACAGACTTCTCAGCAACGACCATGAGAAATCACTTAACATCCTCGGGGCAAAGGATGATGACTCTGGACGTACCAGCTGTTATGAGCCTGACATTCTGGAGACTGATTTCAATGCCAGTGATGTGTGTGATGGTACTTCAGAGGTTCCTCAGCCACAGAGGTTAAAAGGGGAAGTAGATCTCTTGTGCCTTGACCAGAAGAAGCAAAATAACTTACCCTCTACTGATACTGCCCCTACCACTCAGCAGCCCAGTGTTATCCTGGCAAAGGAAAACAAACCAAGACCGCTCGTGATTAGTGGAACGGAGTCAACTCATCAAGCTGCCCATCCTCAGCTGAGCAACCCGAGTTCACTGGCAAACATCGACTTTTATGCCCAGGTAAGCGACATCACTCCAGGCGGGAGTGTGGTCCTTTCCCCAGGCCAAAAGAATAAGGCAGGGATATCCCCGTGTGACAGGCCTCCGGAAGTGGTCTCACTCTGCCAAGCAAACTTCATCATGGACAGCGCCTACTTCTGCGAGGCCGATGCCAAAAAGTGCATCGCTGTGGCCCCTCGCGCCGAGGTTGAATCGCGTGTAGAGCCAAGCTTTAACCAGGAAGACATGTACATCACCACAGAAAGCCTTACCACTACCGCTGGCCGGTCTGGGACCGCAGAGCGGGCTCCGAGCTCGGGGATGCCCGTCCCGGACTACACCTCCATTCACATCGTTCAGTCTCCACGGGGCCTCGTGCTCAATGCGACTGCCTTGCCCTTGCCCGACAAAGAGTTTCTCTCATCATGCGGCTACGTGAGCACAGACCAACTGAACAAAATCATGCCGTAGCCTTGCTTGGATTTCCCACAAGCTACGTATTTAATGGTGAAGAGTTGGCTAGGGCCTGAGTGCTTAAACCAAAACGATGTTTAAACCTTTCTGGGGGCGATGAGGGGGTGGATTCTAAATGCCTTTTCCTGAATTGTTGAAACAGAATATTAAAAAAAAAAAAAAAAAAAAAGAGGCCTAAGCAGATAGATATTCCTATTGTGAATTGTAAATATTTTAAAGAATTGTCTCAAAGACTGTTTAGTGGCACTGATTGTCTTGTTAATGTGGGTGTTAATTTTGTGATACTAAGCATTGAATGGCTGTTTTTAATGTATAGTAAATCATGCTTTTTGAAAAAGCGAAAAATCAGGTGGCTTTTGCAGTTCAGGAAAATGGAATGCAAATCAGAGCACAGGCTATTTTTTTTTTTAAATAATTGGGAACTAAAATTATAGGTAGGAAGGCAAAAAATAGTTTGGATATGTAAAACATTTATTTTGACATAAAATTTATAAAGATATTTTTAATAATTTACACTTCAAGCACGGCTATTTTGTATCACACTACACGCTGTGTACTGTAGTTCATGCAGACCCGTCTAAAGAATGTAGCGACTACAGTCTAAAGCTGGTTTGCTGCTTGGTCAGTATACCTAAAGAAAAACAAATAAGCAGGTTAGTTTTTTACCAGGCCCTTTTTATACCTCCCCAAACTCCTTAAACAGTTCTAAAATGATTGTAGTTACCTGCATTACTGGAACACGCTCATCTTATTTAAAATTTTTTTTTCAAATATTTGTTAATTGAAAAAAACTTTCAGATGGATGCACAGGTCAACTTGTCGTGAACCGAAACAGTCAGACAAAAAACTCTTTCTTACCTGAATTTTGGTTCATGTCAGAGAGCTCCACAGTAGGAGAGGTAGAAAGGATAGCCAGGCCCGGTGGGCAGGCTGCTTGGGTGCTCCTGTTGAATGGGGAGGGAGTTTTTAGTGCGGACATGATGATCCTGAGAGGTAGACCCCAGAAGCTCTGCAGTAGCATCTCTTCAGACATGACTTGATTTTGTTACATGGTTACCGAAGAAGGGAACAAAGTACAAGAAGCATTCTGTAAGTTGAAGTAGGTCGAAGCGAAGTTCAACCAGATCATGGAATACAAAGTTCAAGAAACAGGTTTTTGTTTCCCAGCCGATAGCCAGACATACACCCACTCGTCCTGGTAACAAGAAACAGAAGGAACAAGATTTTAAATCCCCACAGAGAAGTCAAAATTTTCTTAAACCCATAGCGGAAACTTTCTTCCTCACCAAACCCTCTCTCGGGTTTATTTAAAGTAGCAAACGAAGAAGTCTCCTCATTTTTTATTTCCCCTCTGAGTGGCTTGGCCTCAAAGCGGGTAGTCAGAAGGAAAAGAAGGGGCCTGAAATGATGTATAAATTATTGTTCAATCCCTTAGTAACCTCAGCACCATTCTTAGGAGCGTTGGGATTGCTCCCCAAAAGGTTTGTCAAAGGAGAAGAATCTCATCTCACTGAAGAATGCTTCTCACTTTAAGTATTTTTTTTTTTTTTTACATTTAATGAAACTTTAAAGTTAGCTGTAACTTAAATAGTATTTGCCATTTAGCTCAGACCTTTTTAGGAAACAGGCTTAATGGTTGGTAATTTTAAATTCCCTCTTTCTTGCAGGAAGGACAGTGAAAAGCTAGAACTGGGTGTTCCAAGTTCAACATGTTACTTTGTAATAAGTGTTTAATAGGTTTTCTGCTACCTTGCTGCTATGGTTTTCTCTAAGAGCTACATAATTTAGTTTCATATGCAATTTCATCAATGTAGAACCTAATTCAACTTAAAACTGTGTGCTTGGGAAAACTATCTTACTGTTTCACAATAGGCTGACAACAATTTCTATAGCCAAAAATAGCTAAATACCTCAATCAGTCTCAGAATGTCATTTTGGTACTTTGCTGGCCACACAAGCCATTATTCACTAGTATGACTAGTTGTGTCCTGCAGTTTATATTTAACTTTCCTTATGTCTGTGGATTTTTTTCCTTAAAAGTTTAATAAATTTATTTTCTTGGACTCGTCGTGGCATGCTTCTGTTGTCAAACACCCACATGAAAGGTGCCCTCAACCAGACCGCAGACCCTTCAGTTCTCACTGGAAGGGGAGCTCGGCACAATTGGCTTCAACACATTGGCAGGGGATGTGGAGATTTTTGCGATGTGCTAGCAGCTCCCTACCTCTCTTTTTTGAGGAAACAGGAGCCCAGCTCAAAAATATTATTCTGGCTTGCCTGGACTGTGCCTTCTCCTCAGGCTGCAACACCCCACGGGCGGAGGCTCTTAGAGCCATGTTGTGGATGTGTCGTGGCTTGCGTGACATGGGGGAGCGGGGGCCGTGAGGAGGAAAACACATTACTTAAATCGAGCGTTGTCTTTTTTTTTTTTTTAAAGATTTTATTTATTTATTT